GAAATGTATACAAATTATTACATTTGACCAATTTTGCATTTACAATGCTATACTGGAAAATATTCTTAATGAAAAATGCTTAAAAAACAATTTTGTCTCTGGTAGTCTGAGATGACGTTCTTTAATATATATTTTTTTAAATCATGTTTATTTAAATCGTACGAAACATTTGTGTACCCAAAAGGAGTTGTATCGCTTTCACCGTTAGTTTCTTCGCTTTTTATGAAAGAAAGTTATTTTTATTAATATCGAGATATAAACTTGATTTTCACTATCAATGACACCAATAATGATAAATATTTGATATCTTGATAATCGCTACGAACCTAAGATGAGTGGGCAAAGTGAATAAACTATTTAACAGCCAAGAACGTACTCAGTACGTGATATTGTACGAATCATGTACCTGTTTCTGTTAACGTGTTAAATAAATGAGAAACTCCAATCAAATGACATATTTGAATTCAATCCACAATCGGCAACTAAACTACGTACTCTTACCGGATACTTTAACTCTTTCTAAAAAATTTAACAAATTTTCCGTGACTGAGTTAGTACACCGGTCTCAAGGTGTCACCTTGTCAGAGGTAACGCGTTCGATTCCCGGTCGTGTCAATTTAGAAACTGATCTTTTTTATTCTCTCAAGTTAAAATGTTACGGTATCTTTGTTGTTTCAGGTTTTCTTAAAACTTTAATGGGGGATCTAAGCAATATATGTAATATCGTTTATTTTAATACAGTTCTTATATATAAAAAATAATTAAGAAAGGTTTTTATCTATGCATATATGAACCAGTATAAAGCTTAATAAGGCAATATTTGAAATAACTTAAATGCGTGAAATTATACATAAACATCTAATTATGCTCTAATGTTTATTTAACAATGATGTAGCATAAGCCAGCGTTGTAGTAGTCACTTTTATTCACTGGATTAATTCAAGTCACCCAGAGCAGTGTATGTGTGTACTAAGTGGTACAATCAACCGACCAATTGGGCGACTAGCCCTTTTATTGAATGGCGCCATTTAGGGCCAATTCCATTATAGCGTTAGGTCTGCTAATTATACCACTTGGCTGCGACATATCCATAGATTGCCATTAAGTAGGTATGTTCTTTTAATATTTAACTTATGTATTATAATTATATTTTATTAGAGGAAGAAGAAGATTCTAATGAGAAAGGACTATAAAAATGTAACGTATATCCTTTGTAACAATAAATGAATAAATGTAATCTACAGTTTTGATTGTTTGTTGTTTTAAATACATAATTACCATAACTATCGGACTGATTGTAAAAATTCATTAGCTTACCGTAAACTACAGCAAGTAATAAAAAATCAAAACAGTAACAACACGTTCGCACGCAAACAAGAGCTGCCGATACGACTTATGCGATTGGCAAATGTTTGCTAAGTGGTAATACAAGCTCTACTTAGTTCACTGTTAAATATTTGTGTGTGATTAAATTTATCACTGTTACTGCTATTTACTTCACGTTTCTAAATTAAGAATTTAAAGTTAAGCACGTGTCAAACCGTACTTAAACCATCATAAACGTCACTTAAACAGGTTTTCGTTTCTGATTTTATTTTACTTAATGATCAATTGATAGCAGTTCAGTTTGATAAAACTAGGACTTTTCGCCGTGTGAAACGTAAAAAACTTAGGTTATTGAGAATGTACACTTCAGATTTTATACTCTTCTCAATTCATAAAACGACTGTTAGACACTTTTATTAAAAAAAAATAAAGAACAAGCAGTAGTATATAATATCCGTTCTGATTATAAACATTCGATTTTCTTTAACCTTGATCTTATTTTGGAACACATTGAAATTTTACACTTTACACTACTGGAATACAGCTCCATATGTTATATCTTTTGAGATATATAACAGTATAAACAAAGTCTCTTCCCGCTGTAACTGACTAACTTACTACTACACCACATGACGGATTTTTATACGTTTTTCATAAATATACAGAATGGTTCTAAGGAAAGTTTAACATATATAAAACAGCATCACGCTGGCGAAGCTGCTGACGGGAAGTTATTTTATATATATGATACAAAAATACTCATATTATGTGTTCTCTTTTCAATTCAAATGTTTTTGACATTGAGTGAATTAATTAATAATTCTTTATGTACATAAACACCAATAACAGGAAAACAATAACACAAAGAAAAAATAGTCCAATCGACTGCCATATCACTGAGAAGCACTTTCTTTCAGGCAATCGTTACAGTCTGGTTCATTTAAATTTAAATCTACATTTTGTAGTCTATGATGCTTTCTAATTTCAATAACAATAAAAGAAATCAATATCTTAAAATCTAATAAATATTTCGAATAATTTACTGGTATGAAAAACCATTCAAACTATGGGTAAGATAAGAATTACCTTTAATATACATAAGTCAGTTAGAAACTTTCAAATCTAAAAAGTACATAGTTCAACCAAAACCATATTATTTTAAAGCAAATAATATCTTTATTTCTTACAATAATCTCCGAATATGATTTATGCCCCCATTCGATTTATACATACAAATTCCTAATACAATCTGAAAAGCTAAATTATTTTAAGTGAGAAAGATTAGAATTAAAGCAATCTTAAAGCGAATATTATAATCGTTTATCGCTCAATCAAAACGATGGTTTGTCAACATCCAATCTCCCAGTAGTTACTCTGTCAGCGCAACAACTGAACCGAAAACAAGAGTGTTCATACGCAACGGTTAAACGACAAAAACTGGAACGTGTCCAATTTCAGTGCTGAATTTACATTACAATTCATTCACTATGAACACCGTTTTATGACTGTTTCAATTTGTAAACAAAAATTAAGTCATATCGCAATAATTGGGATGGTTATATACAGCGTTATTACAAAAAAGATAAACACGCGTTGAACACGTGTTTAAAAATTGATCTATTTAAGCATTGGTTAAGGCAAAACAACACTTAAACATTGTTTAAAATTTAAACACATGTCAAGGGTTGTTTATCGAGTATCTAACCTTTCACAATATATCACTATAGTTTTGACTTTGATAAGAATTATGTCTTTGAATTTAAATTAAAAATGATAATTTAGATTAAATATTTTCATTTACAAAAATTATTAACTAGTGTGTTTATAAAGATATCTTTTTACGTCTAAAATTTATTAAAAGTTTGTATACAGCGTGCATAGAATGTATGAACGAATGAAAGCCAGTAGTACGAATGTTTCTTCGAAAGAACTAGTGTTACTTAGACAATGTTTAAAAATGAATTTGTAATAGGGAAAATTAGACATCATTTTAAACAGGGTTTATATTCTTAAACACAGTTTAAATAAACACATGGTAAAACACTGTTTAACGTCTCTTTTGTAATAACACTGATAGTGTTCGTAACATGCTTTAAATGATTTGAAAATGGTGACGAGTGTGTGGCCGCACTGAGAACATTTTCAACACTGGCTTTAGTTTTGCTATCTAGAAAATCCGGGATATCCATCGTTAATTAGATCAATGGTTTATAATAATCGGAGTTCTGACAGATAGCTATTTAAGGCATAAAATTATATTTATCTGAATTCCAGAAAAAAGTCCACGATAAATTTAATGAAAATTTCAAGTACTTTTATAGTTTAGCTTGATTTATTATGATTTAACGCTTAATCAACCAGACAGCAGCAGCGTTAACATAATAATTGTATTTTATAATGTGTTAATAATAACATTAATAATGTTACTAAATATAAACAATAAGAAAGTGCACTCGCCGAATTAAATTCTACGGATTCCAACTAAGTTCCGGCTTCTAAACCTTCAGAGACAAACAACTACACCAATAAGACTGTTCAAACAAAATAATATAAACTGAATGACATTGCACAAAATGTATCTTTCTCACAGAAAGAAAATAAATGTTTATATAATCAGATAAATAAGCGTGGGACAGACTGACATTTTGAATATCGTTCTTATAAATTAAAATGATAATTACATAACATTTTCGTCTTTGAATACCACCGTAGTCGAGTGACTTAAATGCCACAGATTCTGCGTTCGATTTCCAGCCAGGTCAATGAAATATTTGTGTTTGATCTAGGTAGTCGCATATATATCAGTTACTTATAACATTAGCGTAATTGTTTAAATTATTTTAATAGGACATCTAATTATTTTAATAGGAGCATTAGATTTTATCACTACTTTAATTACGACTTTATCAGAGTTATAAAATATATCCAAAGAGGTTTAATGTCAGTTATAATAGTTGTAAAAATTCATCAATTCTGATTTCTATCACGTAGTGGCGTATAAAGTATTAGTTCCTTTTTATTTACATAGAGCGTTTAAAGTCAATGTTTCTATAAATAGAGACAAAGGCTATCGTCGGATCATTTCTAAGTTTAGACTGTTCCTTTCTTCTATTTTTAAGTATATTTGTATTTGACAGAAAATTATGATGAAATTATGAAAATTCACGTATATTTTAAACAATATATAAGTTAAGTAAGCGAAAAATTAACGAAAAACCATGTGGCAAGCAATCTCCGTACCATGGACACGGTGTGATACTGTTACGACTTTTTAATTATGCAATTATAGCTCTCTTATTTAGTACTGTAATGTTTTTTCAACTATTAATTATAGTAAGTAGGCATAGAGCTTTATAATTTGACGTAAAATGACGGATTTAAGAGTTAATTTTAGGAGTAAACTGGCCACTTTTCCGCTCGCAAGTAATCGAGTGAAATGTAACAACTTAAGTGCTTTAACAGTTTTACTTTCATAAAACGAGTTCTGCACACCAGTTTTAAAACTAAAAGAGTGCCAACATCGAAATAATTAACGTTCACAATATTTTGTTACTGAATTAAATCAGTGTAATCGTGACTGCGACCAACACTCATGGTCGACTATTTAGAAAGCGAAAGATATTTTATCATTGAGTAACAGGCGGCCGCTTAAATACGAATTATACATTACTTACCTTCCAAAAATAATCGACTACACAGAGTATTATACTGTTGCACTGGATAAAGAATTTATGTGTAATTCACCATCGTTCTGTCACATAAACGAACAATCACCTTATCACCTTCACTGTAAGTCAAATTAACGTTAACACAACACACATTTTCCGCCCAAATTCGACATATTCGAATGTTACGTTCCGAAATCGCGACAATCTGTTTCCGTATCACAATCGGATGTCAACGGCCGCGTTGCAATACTGACACTGGCTGGCGGCAAGCGTTTTCGGTTTACGCGCCAATGCGCACGGTCGCAATTAGGAAAAATAAATTATTTAACGGTTTCGGAACATAAGTTCGAAGTTTGAATTTTAGCGGGTGTGTTGTGTACGGTGGGCGTGCGTGCGTAAGGGTGCGCGGAGGCCGGTCGGTGCGCGGTAAGCGACTGCGGTGTTCGGGCCGGTCAGCGTTCCTCTCGCGACACTCTCTGCCCACCGCTGCACTGGCCGTATGTGTAAATGTTAATCCGCTACAATCTGTCCTGAAGCATGCACAGACCACCTTATACGACCGCTCCACATAATCGAACTTCAAACACAAAGTCCTATAACGCTAGATAAGTGAAGAACATGCTTCGTTTACATGAAAACAACAGACGCTTTCAGATGATAATTTTTCAGCTGATTTCGAAAAAGGAAAGCAGCTCACGTTTAACCTGAATACGAAGTAATTTTCAAGGACTTTTCACTTGTTTTACTTATGTATTTTACTAACTATTAAAATCGACCTACATTTCCCCTTCGGACCCACCATAAGCCATAACCTATATTATTCTTTCCGTCTAGTTTATAGTCTTGGGTATTTTTTGAAGCGAGAAATATTTTCTTTAGCAAGACCAAATATATTAAGCAGCTTTTTAATTTATACAAATAATAATTTTCTTCGTTGAGCAAGTGCTACAAAAGTACTTCATACCTACTTCTACTGTCACCTATGGCATCCACATATGATGTAGCTTCTCATTGGTAAAAGAATTTCGACGGAGTCTATACTATGCAAACAATTACCGATGCATAGATTTGGGTCACTTTCCCATCCCGTGATAAACCACAATTATCAAACCGAAACCCAATAAGGAAGACTACAGAACATAGTTCATACAGATTTTTAGGACTTTTAAATATGGTAGAAAAACTCATTACCAGCACCCTCACATACCATATTGACAGGAATCAGGAATCAAATAAGATTTTTTTTTTTTAATTTTGAAGTAGGTTCTATTTTTCTTTAATTTTATTTCATTTTTTTTAGTGATATTGATATTTTTGATATAATATGTAACACTAAAATGCTTTTCAGAAAACCGCATCAAAACCAGTTCAGCCAAAAAACGTGAGATACTGCACAAACATACAGGTCAAATTGAGAACCTCCTTTTTTTGAAGTCGGTTAAATAAGTAGCAAATAGTCGGCATATTACTTGACATAAATGGTTCCTTTGATCACGCCTGGTGGCCTCTGCTACTTAAAGTTTCAGAGAATTAAGTTGTCCTAAAAATCTCGAATACACTATTGAAAGTTACAGTGATAAAGCAAGTGAAAATCATCAGTCAACAGGAATCATCCAAGGATCACTTCTCGGTCTTATATGCTATAACATAATAACGAACGAAGTTCTTAATCATTTAATATACATATTGAGATATGTATCCAGCATGTGTCACATGCAATCATATACGGACGACCTGCGGTGCGATTCTTATTAAAAATCCAAACCAGAATTCAAATTCATTCAGGTGTTCGTATTCACCCCAAAAAGCGGCACCCGCTCAACCTTGCATTGGCAATAACGTTACGTGGCATAAGCGAATTGAGTTTCAAAATAACATAGGAATAGAATATCAGAGACACGTATATTCAACTTACTATTGCCTGCGACTTCGTCCGCGTGATAAAGTTACTTTCAGTTCAATCAGTCGAATATTTAAGAAGATTTATACAAACTTTCATTCCCTATTTTATCCCCTTACGGGTTGAATTTGTCAAAATCCTTTCTTAGTGAATGCCTACGTTATAGTAGCTTTATGCATGCCAAATTTCAGCCTAATCCGTCCAGTGGTTTGGGCTGTGCGTTGATAGATCACTATGTCAGTCAGTCGTCTGAGTTATATATATTTAGATTAATTTTGTTTTGTATTTTTATACAAAAAAATTGAATCAATAGACTTTCTACACTTAATGATTTCGGATACATGAGTGAATTTCAATTCCTGGTCTGGATTTTAAAAGAATCGCAGAGCAGCGCAGCGATTCTCTCTCTACGTATCTAAAAAATTTTGATTATAAGTACATTTAAAGTACTTAAATGAAATGGGTCAAATATGAGTTCCGAGATTTACACACTAACATACTAAAAAGGCAAGTTAAAAAATTACTGAAAATTATTGAATTCATCATATTCACTAAAAAGCCGAAATTATAGAAAATGTACTAATAAATTTAGAGAATAATACGATAAAGCAGTCAAATACTTAGGTTATAGTCTGAAGATATAGGAACTATATATAAAACAGTTTTAATTAGTAATCCACCTAGTCCAAGATCTAACCCATGGGTAGTGTGCCATGAGCCCGTGATACCTTAGAACTATCCTAAATATAGTTTATGTATATCTTTGGTACAGTCAATAGCACGTCAGGTATACAAAACTGTCCCATTTCTCGACTTGATTTTAAACCTTACTATATTGAAAGTACAGTTCAAAATCAATTGTTTATTTTGTCATTTTATTGTGTGTATGTGTATAATTTAACTTTATGAATAAGTATCGCCGCATTAAAGAAATGTTAACTTGTGAAGAAACCTTTATGACATTGAGTCCGCCATTTTTTTATTTTTAATAGGCAATAAACGACTAAATAAAATACACCAAAGACTTAATAACATAGGTAATATTAAAATCTCTTTGCCATCATTTATATAATTTAATAGTAAAAATCAATTTTCCATTTCTGACCAGGCACCAAACAAAAAATATTACAAAAATTTAACTTTCTTTCACAAATACTACGTGTTTCTACAACAGATTAATGTTAAGCGTGAAATTGGCTATGAAAAACTATGAAGGTTGCAAAAAGACAAACTTTCCGAACAACCTGTACTGTAAGACAGCAGGCCCGGATCTACATTTTTTTTTGTAACCGGGGCTAAAACTTCGTTTTTGTGGCACCCTTCCACTACCCCCCTCCTCTCCTACGCTCCTAGTGGTGACATAGTGAATAGTGACCATACTATGAGCCACTCTTGTCATATAAACAAGCTATGCAAAAAACTAGCCAGTGCAAACTACACACTACAAAAAGTGAAGCCCGTAACCAATAAAAAAACATTAATGACAGTGTATTATGCTTATGTGCACTCCCTATTAAGTTATGCGGTGACAGTCTGGGGAAATGCTTCTGATATAAATCGAGTACTAAAATGCCAAAAAAGGTCATTACGAATTATAAATGGTTTGCGCAAGCGTACGTCAGCCAAACCTTATTTTAATCAAAATAAAATAATGACAATTATTTCTTTATACATTTATAAATGTTGAATAGAAATACACCATGATCGGGATTCACATTTGAGAAAGATGGACATCCATAGCTATAACTTACGTAATAAGGAACGATTGTGTTTGCCTAAAACAAGATTGGCAAAGGTACAAAAACAAGGCATGTATAATAAAATTATAATGTATAATAAACTTTCCCTCAGTATAACAAACATGAATGATGACGAATTCGAAAGAACAATTAAATTTTTTTTTATTCAGCATCCCTTATACTCTTTAAATGAATTTATGTCTATGCGTTTGGATGAATATTCATTCCTACATAAAGATGGGTGAGATAGGAAATTGACTAGATCTCTATGGTAGATGACAAGATATAATAATCATCAATATTTTATGACATAAAATTATATATAACCTATGTTTGTATAATCTAATTTGTGATAATAGGTATATATATATATATATATTTTATAATTTAATTTGTAATGTTATAATTTAATTGACTGTGATATAATTGATTATTAAGGGTCGGAAAAATAACCATTTTGACATTGTTAAGATACTTAATTTATTTGACATTCCTACTTACAATGATTTGACCTCATTTTGACCTGCATGATTTAAACCTTTATTTTTAATTTAATTTGCTTATTGTAAAAGACTTGCCGAGTGTAACCTTTTGAGTTATATGGCCAATAAATTATTTGATTTGATTTGATTTGATAGTGGTATGGATATCGAACGTAGAAGAACTCGAAAACAGGTAGAACGATATATCTACAAATGACACCCACCCATCAAAATAACAACAACAGCATCGAAATAAAAGAAACTCATAATTTATAAGGTACATGGTAGCAATCCCGTTTTTAGCAATCATTCTGATCTTAGCGAACAGGATATAAGATCTCCTATATCACACCTCTACAGATATTCAATTCAGGGCCTAATCTATACAGTTTAACTCGATTTATGTATGCTATTGCTGTAAATGTCGTAACTTTTATTGATAAATGTGTATTCCTCGTATTATATAGTGTTTCCCTCGCGCTCTCATGTGAGATAGAGTCAAACGCTTTAGCGTAATCGATAGATTCCACTAAAGCATAAAATAAAAAACGGCCCGATTTATATATGTTTCGTAATCATTTTTACATTAAATTGATTCTTACATTCTTCTACCAAGAGTAAAAGATAGAAGAAAAATCCTACACAGACGTCTTGTGTTATATTTTATTTTACTTACTGGATAAAAATTTAAATGTAAGATTTGTTTTGACGTCTGTATAATATTCCTTAATATTTGACAATTCAGTAAATCAAAATAAATAAAATGCGCCTACAAATACTTTCTGCAATTTTCTATAAAATAGATATTGCTTCTAACTATGCTAATCTTGGATTTTATATATAGGCAATATATATATATGCCATTTTATGCTAACTAGTATGTAAAATTGTAAATACTTGGTGAATAGAATAATATGAAATAAGTCGATTAATTTTTAGCGAACTGTTATAAAACTGTATTTTGTATAAGTTCATTATTTTTTATATGCATCTTCTATATTAGAAGATGATAATAGTCGGCTCCATTTAATGTCGGCATTAATTTGATATAAATAAAAATGTTATCTCTCTACGTGATCCTAGGTATAAGTTCAATTTTCATTTCATTCCCATTACATCAATAAAATTTGTCATTGTCTTACGGGTCCGGATCCAGTTTTAGGGAGCGCAAAAAATCATCATGACCTATACTCCATTCATTATAACATTAGAAAAAAGAGGGTCATAGAAGCAGCAGTTCACAACATTTTATTTTCAAGATATTTTAAAATAATATATATTAGTTTTTTTTTTTAAACTTTGAACATTAAGTAGT